GGGTCTCCGCCGGCTCTTAGGTGTGTCTGCCAGCTCCCACCGCGATGTTTTCTTCTGCTGTTTCTTCCTGCAGAATTAAGCTGATCTCTGATGCTTGTTTGTGCAGGCACAGCGCATAGGTACGGTGCTTGCAAAACAGCGTCCGGTGAGACGGTCTTTTTATGCGTGCTGGAGTATTTTCCTTCGGGAGATTAGGGCAAAAGCATTTCCCTAACGGTGGTGACTTTGCTTCTAGGCGTCTTAGAGGCATGCATTTTGTATTTTTCTTCTTGAAACTTTCTTTGGAAAGAATTCTTTCTGCTCTAACCCAACACTCCTGCAGATATATCCCGTATTTAATATAGTATCACAGGTATTTGTATTTCTGTGGAAGGACTTCTCAATATAGAACTGTAACTAAACCGGTATTTAACTTTTCCACCCAAGAGAAATTCAAGAGACTGTTAGGAAAATGAGAAAAATCTGTCAGTTAGAATTATTTTCGTCTGTGTTTCACGCCATGATGGGCGGAATGAATCAAAACGCATACCCTAAGTTGTACTATGAGGGAAAAGGTCACCTGAGTTCACATTATTCCTAGTGAAACAGTTAATGATGGGAGAGGGCAGAGCAAATGCAAATTAATTTCTTCAGCCTGCCATTTCCTTCTGTTTTTAGATGCATGCCTTGTAATACATTTTTAAAAAATAAATGTTTAATTAGAAGCTAGAGGTATTATTAATTTCTTGAAGGAAGCACATATTTTTAAAAATCATCAATGTACAGAGACACTGAGGTCTTAGCAGGGATACAGAGTACCTGAAATATGTATGTTCACACTTTGACATCGTGGGGTCAGACCACTTGTATCTTCAGTAAAAAGACAGATTAAAACAGAACTGTGTCTTGCATAAAAGTGTTTTAAATGGCTTTCGGCTCGCTTTTTTGAAATTCAACCAATGAATAGCTTGTGTGAGAAGTTAGTAAAAGTCAGTAACTTTGATTGAAGAAGCAGACGAACCTACTGTTACCAGTGGGAAAATGTAATGTGGAGGCATCTGTCTAATTTCCCTAAAGATATTGGTGCTAAGCAAATCTTTTTTTGTAGCCTGGGGGTGCGTAAACAGTTTTTCGCTTAAAATGTGCTTAAGTACAATAAATAGATCTCAAGAAAGCCAGTGAAACAACGCATACATGCCACAATATAAATGTCATATAGTGACCCAAGACCAGGCAGGTGGAACTATGTATTCAATTATTTATCTTTATTGCAAGTCCTGTGAAGAAAGTTTGAAAGTGTGTTTTAGGCCATGACTAGGTAAAAAAGCACTTAGGAATGTACTGGCTTTCCTATTTTGATTCAGTAAGATGAAAGCAATGTTTACATTTCTACTACACTTAATATTTCATAAAAAAACTTAAATATGTATTTTTTTTTTTTTTTTTTTTTTTGGTGCCTGGAATCGAACTCAGGCCCTTGCACTTGCCAGGCAGGCGCTTGTACCGCTGAGCTAGACCCCCGGCCCTATTGTTTGATTTGTAATCCACATAATTATTCTGTGAAGTGGTCAAGGTACTTTATAGGTGAGCACAGAGCCTCAGAAGTTAAATGCTTTGCTTTAACTCTTTAAGTTTCAGGTCCTTTAAATTGCTAAGCTGATAAAATCTTTCACTGTTATTTCTCCCGTATTGTAGTCATAGTTACATGGAGTGTATGGAGAAAAGAACATTACTTTTAGAACTCAGAAAATATAGGGGCTGGAGGTCTAAACAAGTAGAGCACTTTCCTGGGATGCACAGGTCCCTAAGTTTTATTGCCAGCGCTTCGAGAAACGCTAACAACAATAAACGATATATTTATTGGTACGCTTTGTAGAAATGCTTATTTGTTATAAGAAATAAATGTAACCAAGTTTTTTTTTTTTTTTTTTTTCTTTTAGAGAAAATCCAGAAAGAACCTTTGACTTGGTATTGAAAGTGAAATGTCATGTCTCTGAAAAGGAAGGTATGTATGTTCTTTGGAGTCTTAAAACACACTGGTTAGGTCTGTCAAACAACTATTAATATTGGATGGCCCACACATGATAATATCAGGAAAATGATAGCGCTGAATGTGTATTCTGCATAGTGTCTCAAGTTGCTAGTAATAAAATACACACTAGGATTTTGCCCTGGCGTTGTAGAAATCATGAATGTTATCTGTACAGCTTGGATTTCAAGTGTATGTTAGGCCCGTATAACTTACAACTCAGTTTTCTTCTTTGTTGAAGTTATCATTAGTTCTGGTGAAATGGCGTGTCTTTTCATTTGCTTTAATTTGAGCTTGAGAATTTAGCTCCCTTTTAAAAACATTAGTGTAAATTCTCCGCCAGTACCAATGGTACTTCCACCAACTCCCTTGTAATGTCTCTGGAATGCAGAATAGAAACTGATTGGCCCCTTCTATTGGACTTACTCCAGTGGCATAGCACTTTCAATGTGACATTACCTGGAAGGGTTTCAGCTACCAGTTCTGTACAATTTTCTGAACAGCCAAGAATACTTTAGTATTGTGACTTTTGTCAGCCCCACCCCCTTTATATTGTACATATGTGTGTTCTACTTAGGGATGAGGAATAATTCTTCAGTGTGTCCCTGTATGATATGTTTTCATGGATATCACTAGTGTATGACTTTATTTACCGTGTACTTAGACCCTAGATAGCGTGGTGATTAACTGGGCTTCTTTGGAGACTACTAGTTGACTATTCTGAAGACTTGATGGAAAGTCTCTTGACACTCTTAGCCCTGGAAACTAGCTAGTAATTATATACTCGTAAGAAATTTGGAGCTGAACACCTTAAAATAGAGGAGCCCAACCCAGTTGTGGTAAAATGGGCACGGCTAATTTTAGGTAGGAAGTCGCACACATTCCTGGCTCCACCAGCTCTACCTGCTGTACTTCTGGCCTTTCGAACTACAGCAGTGATCAGTTTTGTCTCTTGGCAAGGAGTAAATAATCTTAAGCTTCCTTCAGGGGCCTCTTCCCATAAAGGGGTTGGCTTTGTTGTACAGTGAAGTTTGTCCATTTACCTTCTTCCCAAGCCCAAACAAATCCTCTTTACAGAATGGATATATTATGAAGAATACACTCAAATGCATGCATTATTTTTCAGCTCCCACTTACATTTATAGTGTATTTATGGTATGAGTTGATCTTAAAAATTTGTAATATGCCATTACCTAAGATATAGGAAGTAATAATCACTTGATGGATTTGTAAAGCAGGCTAACTTCATTTGGAAAATGTAGACTCTGTAATTTTAAATGGGTGCTCTTTAAATTGTGAAGTGCTCTTGATGAAAGAATCAATCTGCTTTATATACCCACTGATCTATGCATTTGTCAGAGAGATTGTGACCGTCTCATAGACATGTGAGATCTTGGTTTAATCCCTCCTTTCCTGTGCCCTTTTCCACTTTTCACTCTAGTATTTTATTCTACTATGAATCTTCTTTTTCTGATTGTTTACTGTTGTTGTTATTTAAATCACTACTTTCTGGAAACATCTTCATTCATATTTTAATAGTTTACCTGCTCTGGTAAAGTTGGGAATATAATAAATGGATAAAAGAAACAACTTTGGCTTCTCTGTAGATTGCAGTTAATCCACTCTATTTGGCTGAGAGGCAGTAAATTCTAAAGATTTTTTTTTAAAAAACAACTAAATTCAACCATTAAAACAACATTAGCCTTTCTTATTTTGATTGAGATTTAATGTGAACATAATGAATATTTTAGGGCCTAACAATCTGTATTTTTTTGTACCATAAGAAGTACTGGGGGCTGGGGACTTAGCTCAGCGCAGCGGCAAAGTGCCTGCCTGGCAAGCACAAGGTTGTGAGTTCGGTTCCCGGTACCGGAGAAAAACCAAAAAAAAAAAAAAAAAAAAAAGAAGTACTGGTATTTGTTGCTAAGAGGTCTGTAAAAGTAAAATTTTATATCAAATCAAAAGTATAATGTTTCTATAATATTTTATTCACTTTATTGCTAAATATTAAAGGCAAGATACACTAAAATTATTTAAAAATTATTGGGAGTATTCCAGTGTAACTGTCAATAATCCATTTGTTTTAATGAGACATACATACTATATCTATATCTATGTCTATATCTATATCTATAATTATTTATCTATCTATCTATCTATCTATCTATGTTGGCTTGTGTGAAGTAAGAAAATTTTTTGCTAACATTTGAATGAGCATCGATGAAATTCTTGCACAGTATTGGTCTTTGAAAACAAAATGTATCAATTAGGATGCTTTGGGGTACAAACAGAAAACTAATTTAAATACTAGGAAATCTTGATAGTGCATAGAAGAAGCAACCCAGAGGTGGCTTATCAGTGATCTGGGTTTTCTTTGCATCTTAGCTCTGCCACCCACAAAATTGTGTCATTAAAAGACATAGATTCCTTATGGTCCTGACAGTAGATGTTGGAAGTCTGCCTTCTTCTTTAGGATTGTGGAGATGACAGACACTAGCTTTTCATGGGTCTGTTTTTAGGAAATTTCCTTCTGAAAATCCCCCAGAAAACCTCATACATGTCTGTGGCCTAAGCTGTCACGGGCATGACTATTCCTAACGTAGTCACTGGCGAGGCTGTGCTGGAGGGGTGTGGCAAGACTGTCATGATTTAATTACTAAACAGTTGGCAAGGGCTAGATGTTGGGAAGTCAATTAAAACTAAATGATTTCTCAGCATTTATTTTTTGATGACTTTGATCAAATAGGAAATATGCTCAGGCTGAACTTGGTTTATAATAAGAGTGAAACCTCTTCAGTCCTCCTGTTAAGATATTTAGCACGCTCCTCTTGTTCATTTTTGTTGTGCATTGTTTAATGGAAGAGTTGTAATTGTTTCATTTATCCTGGATACCTGTCTTCAGAGACACATTATTATTAACTATGTTTTGGTTAGTAGTTTGATATAGCTAGCTATAGTAAAATTATGATCTTGTGCTATTTGGAATTGTTTCCTAAGCATTAACTTGACATTTCTGCACACAATACATTTTAGAACACTCTGGAAAATAACTTAGTTTCATGTGTAATATTGCACAAATCTAGAGATTTCTATGAGAGGAATTGGTGGTGTCTTTCTATCATGTCCCTGTGTAAGTAGAACTGGTTCTGGTTGTGTCTGGCAAACTGGTTGTGGCATCTTTTAGTGGAAATTTCCCTGGCAAGACAACAGTCCAGTAACTTGGACTCGAGTTGTCCAGAGGGAAGTGCCAAAATGTGGATCTTAGTGCTCTTCCTGGTAGGTCTCCAGACTTTGTGGCCGTAGCTCTTCTGTTTGCTGTTTCTTTCTGCCAGACAGGGGAAGTGCCGTCAGCAGCAGGACCTGTTCTCAAGTCTGATGACAGAACTTACTGTTACCATACCGCATTGTTTTCCCCAAAGTGGTTCAAGACTTTAGGGAAATGGAAAGTAACCTTTCCTCAAAAGAATGGAGATGCTTTCTCTCACCGTTTCCCTTTAGGCAACTGCTTTGGTACTTTAGCTTTTTCTTTTTTATTTTGCTGCTAGCCCAGCAAAGCAGTAGTAGCAGTATTAGCTGAGGAGGTAAAATCTAGGGATTTTTTTTTTTTAATATACTAGATATGCAAGTGTCACAAAAACTTATAGGAAATATTAAGCTCCATTTTGCACATGAAGAAACTGAAGCACAGAGAAGTGAAGAATATTGTTTGAAGTAGTGGCTCTGGAGGCGGTACTTTACTCACTGTACCTCGCGTTGCATAGTGACCTGCCATAAACTCCTTAGAGGCTGTTTTATCTTGTGAGGGAATATTAGAGTATAAACTATGTCTGGTGCAGGTAATCTTTAAAAAACAGTAATGTAGTATGTTCTTTAACATGAATGAACTCAATATAATTCCACCTAAAACAGTTACAGAAATTTTTATGGTTATAAACCCTAACTCAGCAGAGGAGACCTTACTCTTTTTTTATAGAATTTATATCTCTATATTTAATTAATCTTTAGTTTATAACTAATGTTAATTGTATTAATTAATAGTTTTCTGTTAATTAGTAGTTTTAAGCATACCCATAGCAAATCTTGTTTTCCTCATTTCTTTCTCTTAGAATAATTTCTTTTGGGTACAAATCCCTCTTTGTAACAGACTTTCCACTTTGAATGACTCATCCAATTTGGTATCAAATTATCCATCTCTTTTTCTGAATCTTCAGCTCACATTAGCAGTTTATGGACTTTTCACTCTTTTCTTAAATCAAAACTTTAAGCCAAAGAATTCTTAGTATCAAAAGGTATTTCTAAGGTTGCCTTTGCATTTGATAACATTTTCGCTATAGTGATATTATTTACACTAGAATCCAAACTACTTTGCTTCTGCTTGTATTTTAGCACTTTGTTCTTGCAAATACATCTGATTTAGTCATATATAGTCATATAAATTGCATGACTAAATGTATATAGGTAGCATGACTAAATGTACATAGATAGCATGGCTGAATACATAAATGTCTGCCCTGCTTGTAAGGTCCTCATGTGCCACATTAATTCATATCCTTAAGAAAAAGCTTACTACAGCATCTGACAAATTTAATTAATATCGAGAGAATGACAAAGAAAAAGAAATTGGACCTAACTTATTGCTGGCCATTGAATTATCAAATGCTGATTAAACTAATTCACAGGGCTGCTTGTAGAAGTGACCTTAAAGTCATGCTGGCATGACAGGAGGAGGGGCATTAGAAATATACAAGGAATGATTGAAAGATATGGTGAATGTTGAAATTTTAAAAAATTCTTACACCAAAAGACACATTGCCTTTCATACCACTTAAAAACGTTCCCCTTTTCTCTGAGCACACTTACCCTGTTGTTCTTGCCACATTCTGAAGCAGTTCTGGAAGTCCTCTTTTGTATCTTTAGTTGTGCTGTCATGACTGCCTCAATGTCCTCAATGGATTCAGAACATTTAACTTTCATGG